GGGAATCTGCAGGTTCTTCTTCCAGGTGTGGGTTTGGGGCTTTCCCAGCCAGCTCCAAGCACAAATACAGGTTATTTCTTTTTTAAAGAAATTATTTTCTTATTTATTTACCTATTTTTATTTTTTCATGAAATCCTAAAAGCTAGGAAAAATAGCAAATAATTTTTTTTTTTTTTTTGCAATCTAACCCCAAATCACTTCCCTTTTGGAGTTACTGCTCCTCACTTCTGTGTCTTTTATGCTCTTAATTCCATGTCACATCCTCAGGTCCTTTGCCAAGGCAAAGGCCCACAGTCCCCAAGGGGCTTCTTTGGGCCCCCCCTCCCCAGATTGCTGCTGCCTGGTGCAAATTCTGAAAACAAACTGAAAAAGTCACCAAAATAAATAAAAGAAACATCTCTTTAAGGAGGTTTGGGGAGGGAGTTGGTGGCTCAGCACCTCCAGGCTCGTCTCTCCCTGAGGAAATACGGGAAAAATATGATTTTATGGTTAGAAGGAACGAGAACCCCGGGGCAGGAGGAGCCAGCCCAGCTCTTCCCTCTTCCTTTCATTCCCTGGGAGGCATGGAGAGGATTTAATTAGTCCCAACAGCAGGGCTAATGACCTGCCTGTTTAATGTGCTCCTGAAAGGTGGCAGCAGGAGAGCTTTGGGCTTGCCCTGCCCCTGCCTGTCGGAGCTGGGTGCTTTGTCCCTTCTCCCGGGGCAGCTCCCGCCCCCAGGGCCCTGTGCCGGGCTCCAGGTGGGAATTTGGGCTGCTCTGCCCACAGGTCCTGGCCTACTTCACCTTCTGCCTCTGGCTGATCCCCTTCGCCTTCTTCGTGTCGCTGTCGGCCGGGGAGAACGTCCTGCCCTCCACGGTGCAGCCCGGAGGTGAGGGGGGACAGGGAGGGACAGGGAGGGACACGGGGGCTCCCTGTACCCCCTTCCCTCCTTGGGCTGTGGGGGAGGAGGGCAGGGAAACCCGGCTTCATCCTGCAGCCCTTCAGCCACGGGCTCCTGGAAGGGCTGGGGTGGGAAGGGACCTCCCAGCCCTCCTGGTTCCAGCCCCAGGGACATGCCCTGCTCCAAGCCCCGGCCAGCCCGGCCCTGGGCACTCCAGGGATGGAGCAGCCACGCCATTCCCAAGTGCTGTCACTTCCCTGGATCCCCCCTACGTGGCAGGAAAGGCTTTGTGCTCCCTGCAGCGGGTGGAACACGCGGGGGGGTCGGTGGGACATCCCCGGGGTCCTGTGGCATTCCCGGGGCTGGCTGTGATTCCCTCCCTCTTCCCGCAGACGACGTGGTGTCCAACTACTTCACCAAGGGCAAGAGAGGGAAGCGCTCCGGGATCCTGCTCATCTTCTCCTTCATCAAGGAGGCCATCCTGCCCAGCAGGCAGAAGATCTACTGAGCTGGGAGCCCGGGGAGCCGGGACAGAGCCGGGATGGAGCCGGGATGGAACCGGGACACCCCAGACTGTGCCGAGGTCCCCACGCCTCACCCAACCCTCCCCCTGGCTCCCGAGGGGATCTCCCTGGGAATGGATGAACTGGGACACGCCTGGAGCTGCCAGACACACGGGGAGGGCTGGCACCACCTCCTCCAGCTCTGCTGATCCCTCGGGAATGTGGCCGGGGAGGATGTCGGGCTCCGCTTGAGCCGAGGAGGGTCCGGCCCCGGCTCGGGGACCCGGGAAGTGCCACCCGTGGGAATTCCCACCCAGGTGTTTGTACCTGGGGGGTTTTGGGGAGCAGCTCCCTCGGGATAGCACAGGACGGGCTCCAGCTTTACCTGAGGTTTACACAGAGCCATTAATTAAAGAGAAAAGGAGGAATTGGAATAAATCCGGAGGATTCCGACGTTTCCGGGGAAGGGACAGCGAGGGCAGGACCTGTCCCTGCCCCCCTGGAAGGATCCAACTGCTGGTGTGGTTTGGTTTCAGTGTTGGAAATTCCTGGTTTTCTCTCTGCTTTGGCCAGGACTGTCCAGGGTGCTCCAGCTGCTGGAACAAAGCCCTGGGAAGCCGTTCATGGCAAGTGAGTCCCCACTCCATGGGAATCTCCTCGGCTTCTCCCGGGTCTCTGCTGGGCATTCCCAGAGCTCTGACCTCTCCAGGCTTCCCTCTTTTCCCAAAGGGAAAAAAATCATACTGAGAAGGAGGTGAACCCTTTGTTCTTGTTCCTTCTAACCATAAAATCCCTTTTTTTCCATGTTTTTGGCCACCTTCAGCCTGTGCCAGGACAAGAGATCGCCACGGCAGCCAGGCACAGGAATTCCCTGGATCCAGCAGAGCAGGGTAGCTTTGGGAGGAGTTTCTGAGGAACATGGCTCATGGAAGAAGTTTACCCTGTTGGAGAGGCTGGATGTGGCAGCTCCTGAGCATTCATGGAATCCTGGAATGGTGGGGGTGGGAAGGGACCTTAAATGCCACCCAGGGCCACGTTCCGTAGCTCAGGTTGCTCCAAGCCCTGTCCAGCCTG